GCACAGAAAATGCTTTGGGCTAAGTTTTCAGCAAATGGGGCAAGTGAAAGCCCACCTCTGAGCGCTGTGTCTGGTCAACTGCCCAGCAGTGCAGGTTACCCTCAGCTTAGCAGGCTTTTGCTGCTCAAATCATGCCGATGCTGGCGGTGGTATCAGCTGTACCACCCCTGCCCCAGCACGGAGGGTAAAGTATCCCCATGGCAGTGCAAGAACAGACCCCCAGGGTGGGCTGTGCGGCTACCCTCCATCTGCCCAGGAAAGCAGCGAAGGTCGAGGCTGACTTACATTTCATACACCTGATACATCTTTCTATGCCTGTTCTGGACTTTTTTGACCTCTAGACCTTTCTTCTGTGGTGCCCCGAGGGGCCGGGGACAAAACGAGTATGGAAAGCCATCGCATGCACGAGATAAAAGGTCAGACCATCATTTTTTTTGGTTTTCAGTAGGTGTTTTTTTTTTCTTACTGTTGTTTTTGTGGGAGTTGATGCTTCACTGGTTGTCAGGTATGTCTACTGACCTACACGGCTGCTCCCTCAGGAAAAGAGTCTCCAGAATGAGAGCCTACATTAGCAGTCAGATATCAACACCTCTGCCGTACAACCTCCCTCATCGTAAGGAAACCCAGACTGTTCTGCTGTGTGGGTACGACCCTGTAATGTTTCAGCAAATTATACAAAACACTTTGGTTATTTAAAACAACTGTTTACCTGCAGGCTATATTAAATCCAGGTATAACTAGTAAGAGGGACTTAACCTCTTCTATACGGAAATACGGAAGGAAAAGCTTAAATAAACATAACAAGAAACTACAAGGCTAAACGTGATTATTTTCCACTTGTCAATAGTTATATGAGGTCAGTTGCCAAAAACGTGTGAGGAAAAAAATGTGGCTACATTAAAAATATGACTAGAGTTAGTTTTTCTAACAAATTGCTAATGCTGAGCCAAGTTCTGTGACCCTCACTCGTCCGGAGCCATTGCTGCTCCTGCACGTGTAGGATTGCAGTAATTTTCAAAAGTCTTAGTGAAGGGCTGCAGGCTTCAGCACTACATTTTGTGAACATAATCAGGATTTTGTTTAAAAGAAAAAAAGGTAAAGTAAGTGATTTTTTGCATTCAAGTTAACACTTTCAATCAAAAGCACGGACCGTTGTTCCCAACTTCATTGTCTCTCTGTATCCTCCAAGCACCTTCTACTTTGGCACCTTTGAAAAGAAACTTCAATAAATAAGGAAAGGAGACTCATTACTGAACTGTAATAAATAACAATAACTTAATCTCAATAAATATCTTCTGTATATTTATGTCTCTGAACAGATGCATTGCATCAAGTAGTCTCTGCTCACTCACAATGACCAAATAGAAACGCAGTTACGCAAGTGACGTTAGTCCTTTGTAAACCAAAAGAAACACGTTTTGTGTAGGCCAGGCTTGTTATTTCTCTTACTATACTAGAAAGAAGTGCTTAAAAACTCAACTTGTTTTCGTAGGTAGCAGAAGAATGAAATCCATGCGCTCTGAAGAAGCACAGGATGGAAATGACTAAACTTAATCAGTAAGTGGAACCGTTTTGCTTCGTATTGATACTGGCCCTACTGAACTTGAGCCTGGGAATTTTGGTATTTGCCCGATATCATCTTACTTAGGAGGTTAATCTTATTATAGCTTAGAAGTTGTCCTAAATGCTTAGGAACCGCCCTTCAACGAGCAGTAGCACAATGTGTCTTTTGATGAAGCTGAGGGCACAAGGGATGAGTAAGGTAAGTCCTAAGCTACTTCTCAGCTAAGCTTCCTGGCACGGATGACATAACTACAACACAGTGTGCTCTGGCAGGGTTGTGTTTTTAAGAACATGCCTCGTGGATTCGAGTCTCATTGATGGTGGACTGTGTCAAATGGGAAAGGGAGCACGCACGCCATCCAGCCATCGGCATCTCCTCCTGAGCTGTTTTTTACCTCCCCGCAGAATGTCAAAAGTCTCCATCCTCCTACGCCGCCTCGTGCCCCTCCCAGGGCTCTCTCGACCCCCTGTTCTGCCTTCTTGGTCCTCTTTTCTCCGCTCTGAGCAGACGCATCCCCAGGAACCTTGGTCCCTAAAAAACGGAAACCAAACCCTGCCCCCGCCTCTGGCGTGCAACCCTTAGACGCATCCACACCTTTTTGCGGAATGTTTTTTCAGTATGTGGTAAACCAGGTTATCGTCCAAAAAGGACAGGTCATCATCAAAGGCTGTGGGTCTGCAACACGCTTGCCTCACTTTGTCAGTGACTAGTTTTTTCTTTCTGGTTAAGTTTTTTAAAATTTTGTCGTAAGTGGTCTCGGCTGCATCACAAGATCCACTGCAATATCGGAAAATTAGCTCTTCTTTGGTTTCGTATCCCAAATCCAAGTCAGTCACGTTTAAATGTATTTCTGTTAAGACACATCCCCTATTTTTTCCCTTTTGATTCCTCCTTCCCTTTTTGCTGGAATTCTCCAAGTTTGTGGCTGCGTTCTGCCGGTTTCTCTCCCGCCTAGAAAAAATCGGAGTCTGTTTATCTGGTGACCTCCTCAGTCTTTTAATGGTGGCTTGAATAAAGTCCACTACCTCATCAAACTGATCTGGATAGTCCTCTGGCATATTAGCTGTTTGGGAAAGAGAGAAAAGGCTTTGTCATTAAGTGTGTCCATTTGTGGTTCAAAAAACTCAGACACATGCAAGCTGGTCTGCCCACCACTTCCGAGTGCATGCCCAGGACCCTCGGAAATCAGGGAGAATTTGGAACGGTTTAGATCATCACAGAAACTCATTTGGGGAAAAATAAGTGAGATATGTATGCATCTCTGTAGGTGTCTGCTGATGCTTGGTAGCACTCCAGCGCATCTTTCAATACTGAATGAGCCCTGTCAAAATCGAGGCAATGGTACACATAATAATTAATGGGTGGACGAAGCTACTGTAGAGAGGTTACACAGGCTCTTCCCAGCAAACCAGCGAAAGAACCATCCTCTTTAAAGAGGTTCCTTTAAAGCAGTTTTGTGATTATAGTTGTTAATCGTTGCCTTTTCACACCAGCAGCAGTTAGTATTGCCAAAGCCGCCTGTTGGTAATGTTTATGGGCAAGACAGAAAGAGGAATTTCCTGCGGTACCAGGCAGGCCTATTATTCCTGGCTGAATGCCTGCTTTTTTACTTATTCCAAGGGATAATTATTATCAGGGCGTTTGAAAAATTTCTCATTTATCACAAGATGCTGATTAGACTGAGTAGAAATAGATCAGAATAGAAGTATTATGTTAATTTTCGATGGAAATTATTATTAATGCATTTTCTTTTATGAAGTTAAAATACCTATTACATTTTTCACTCAATATATACTCTACCAGTGATAAATTATTCAGGTAAATTAAATGTTGAAGTCAATGAAATGTTCTGATACTAGCAGACTGAACCTCTTCAAGGAGAGTAAAATTCAACGTGTTCTGAAATGTTCTCCGACTTCAGTTTTTCAGCATGATTTGGAAAAAAAAAATAATTGCATTTTGAAATCTTTAAATTTTTATGGACTAAATGCACCAGTGTGATCTGCTTTAGCGAATACAGTGAATTAATGGAGGATCAGGTTGTCAGGACCCCGCGTGTAGATGCCCTTACGATATGCCCAACGATTGTCTCTACACAATAAACATAAACTCCACATAAACTACATTACTGAGGTTTTTTTTTTCTGATTCATTGTGCCAAAAATCAAGACCTGAGGACTCACTTCCTTTGCAATAAGACCTAAGAGGTGCTTCTTTATGTACTTAATTCCTAAATGCCCAGCCATGTAACAGACCAGTGCCACGCACACAGCCCAGTGTGTACAGGAGCTCCACCTCCAGAAGGACCCCTACAGATATCCCAGGAACTGCGAACAATGGGAAAGGCGATAGCCAATGCAGTGCACCTACCCAAGGGTTGTGCCCTCCACTGAGCCATGAAGGCTCTCATCCCGTCAGGTGCTGAGGTAGGAACAACTCCTTAGGTAAAGGCTCAGCATCACGTTTCCCCAGTGAGCTCTGTAACAGACAGGAGCCCTGATGGGAGACCGGGCGGTTGCAGGTACCCAGCCCACACCTGGAGGCACGGACTCAGTTAACAGGAGACAAAAAGACATGAGGCTGCCTCCTGTTGCCTAGCAAAGGCGCACCTCTGTATCCTCAATGGAAGCACCAAATACAGAGGAGATGGGGCAGCAGGATCTTAACGCAGCGCAAAAACTTGCTGAAACACAGTGCATCTGCACGAAAGGAACACGGACCCCTCCCTGAAGCAGTCACATCATAGAAGCTGCCCTCTCCATGACAAAAATGCATCAGAAATACACAGTTTTTCATTGATAGCTTCTGCAAAATAGTATAGGCTGGTAAAAGAGTAATGAAGGCAGGCAATCTTTAACCTTCACATAATGAGGGCGGCACATGGGAAGCAGGATCCTACAACTGTAGAGTTTGGGAAAAGTGAATTACACTTTGTTCTACAGATGTCTGTGCTAAAGGCAACAACCTCGCAGACCAGTGATTGTCAAAAGACACGAAGCAGGGATGGCTGCTATCTATACAGCTATATGGGACCTGAACAAGACAGGACCCTGCACCAGCCCTGTATTCCTGTGACACCAGTGGTAGGTGCACCTTTCTTGCACTGCCCTGTCATTACCTCTGTAGCAGGTACCAAAACACCCACTATGAGCCACAGCTACTGGAGGGGGGGGAAGCTTGGATAGAGGTGTCCAGCAGATGAGTCTCTGCTGCAAGACAGGCTGGTCTGCCGACACCACGTGAATACTGCCCTACTGAGCAAGGTCCAGGTCAAGGTGATGGGCAACAAACCTTAAAAACAACAAGAGGTAGATACCTTGCTAGACTCAAGTCAAGCAATATGATCCACGTGGAGCTGGCATAGCCCCCACTGCTGAAGTACAAGCTTGGTCCTGGCAGAGGTGGGAGAGGTGTTTGGCAGGAGGCACTTGCTGTAGGACTGGGTGGTTTCAAGGTCTCTTGCACAGAAACCAGGTTTCTTAGCTTATATCCCAATAAGGAGGATATAGTATATCCTGTGTGGCCTGAGGACATAGCTCTAGCTGTACCGTTCTACACCCTAACCTTCAGATTACCCGTCATACTCCTGTGACTACTCTAGTCCACATCTCTGTCATATGCTCGTGGCCCAACCCTCACAGCAACAGTACAGCGCAATGAGATATTGGCTGTGGAAAGGGAATACAAGCCGCAGGGAAGCATACTAGGGTTTAACCAAAATTATGCAATGGTCAACCATCAGGAAAGGGACAGGAGGTTGTTCCAGGGAAACCTAATCTATACATGGAGATTCTTGTCTGCAACCCTCAGACTCGTACTGATCCCAAGCACGTTACATTGCCAGTGCAGCGTGGGGAGGACATGTCTCCCAGCTAAGAAGGGAGAAACAAACCTGTGGATTACCTGAAGAGATAACAACCCAACTAGGCACATAATTTTTAAACGGTTTACAATTTAGGTGCAAAAATATCACCCACCCCTGTGATAGTGCTATATGCAGGAGTCTACTTTGGTTAAATATTAATCAGACAGTTATAGGGTTCAAGGACTGTCCTGCCCAAGCGAATACCAGCGTGCCTTGGAGGGTGAACAAAGAGGAGAAAAGGCCCATGCTGTGGACTGTGTCCCTGCTCAGAGCCCAGGCTGGTGTCTGTCCTGGTTCATGCATGATCACTGCCCCAACTGCACCAAGGGAGCTAATGTTGCTGAGCGCCTTCTGTGCTGTGAGTGGCCTGTGATATTTAAGGTGGCGGAAACACAGCATAGAAGAGCCCTGTGCAATGCTGCTAACGCAGCCATGGGGCGTCAACACCGCAGAAGGTGGAAGCAGTAGGGCAGAATGTACATCAAGTAATCAAGCCAACAGTGCATCCAACTACAGAAGTCCTGTCTACACTCATGGACTTGCTGCAACTGGCAAATGGGGTAATCAGCAGCATGATGGATCCTGGTAATCTCACTGGGCTCTAACACAAATCATGCAAGAATCACTCCGACCTGTAACCTGGGAGAGGTGTGAGTGGCCAATATGTCTGATGGAGCCAGGGATCCCTGCTCAGCTCATCCTCTATTGCAACATCAGGCCACTTGGGAGACTCGCTGGGAGGAATGCCAGCACTATGAGTAAGATGAATGCTAATTTTCTGTCTCCAGGGTGGACTTCCCCTTCAGCCCAGGGGACTGGAAAATATCCCAAGCAGATATCCGAATCTGTCGAGAGGACTCCTGCAATGACCCCCAGTATTTGGAGATTACATCACTGGAGGAGACACAAGGCACATGAGTGATATTAGGGAACCGGTGGGAACAGTGCACCCCTGACAAAATGTACTGGACCTACTGACCCTGGTCAGCTTCTGCCCACCTACAACCGCACATGCTGTTACGCGGCTATGTGGGTACATCACATTAACACGATGGCAGCCACGTTACTGGGCAGATCAGTGAGTCCTTGCAAGTTGCTGTAAGCAGTAACACCCTCTGCCTGTGGGGTCCCAAACTAGTCATGATTAATGCAATTATGCTCTTTTGGGGACCTCCCAACTGGACTGCCAAAGTACCCCAGATTTGCCTCCATAATTCAGCACTGTTCAAGAGCTAACACCTCCAATCCCCGCCATCAGTCAGCCGCTGGCTGGTATAACTCTGAATTACTATACGGTCCCACAAAGCCAAGTTTCAACACACACAGGCAACATGGGTCTGCGCTATCAGAAGTGGGTCAAGCGCAGCTGGACCCAGCAACCACTGAACCATGGACCCAAGCAATGGGGTTCATACTGACTGGATGTGGCTTGATGCTAATTTTTTCTGCTTAACAAAGCATAGCTATCAGTGTGACTGCAGTCACTAGGAGTTGGCTCACGGGGGCTTGAAGGAAACCTTGACAGTCAGGGGTGAAGTGAGAGTTGATTTAGCAGCCTGTGCCAAGGTGCCAGCCATGACTCAGTAGGGATATTCATCTGTCCAGGAAGTATGGGTGTGAAACCTGAGAGCCTGAAACAAAACGCTGTAAAAAACTGCTGAAGTTGGACCCCAAGCAACCAAGTGGAAATGCCAGCATTAACACCAGGCATGACGGGTTGAAACAAGGCACTGGAGGTAAGTGCTAAGGAGGCTACAACTAGACATCATATATGAATAAGCAATAACTACTGACCAAGGACTAAAGACTGTAAAAGGAGAATGGACAGAAGGGAAGGTGGAGAAGACTGACAGCAGGACCACCCCATCCTGATGGGCACTCAGTAGGTATGTTCCAGGGAAGCCAAGACGTCTCTGCACCACAGTCACCATGTGCTGAGCACTTACTTGTTTGGTCCCTGCACTGTGGTAAGAGCTGCTGGGGCCAAGGGGGTGCTGAGCTGAATCGTGCAGCTAGGGAACACCACCGCACTCACACAGGCTGCCTTGGCATCGAGTGCTGGCTTGTAACCTGAATAAGTCACTGGATTGAGAGGTACTTAGTTAGCCCTCTGTTTCCAACACTGTTCAGAAAACATTTATAGTCTCAGAGTGCAGGTCCAGCCCAGCAGCTTTGCTGCTCTAATTCTGCAGGGACTGTGCTGCCTTGACT